TTTTTCTTTAGTCATTTTAATTAATTAATTTTAATTAATTTTCTTTATTTTCCGAAACACATCCAACATACCTTTGATGTAGCGGAGAATTCTCTTGGCGGCCTTCCAATGAGAGGTTCTTGGATCTTCCATGTACTAGCTAATAAGACCAACCCCGTACAAAATGTCCGGTCTTGTACAAGTCAAGTATCGTAAGCTCCCAACTAAGCTCTTGAACATTGTGGGTTCCACCTTTTCCTCATCACCAAACTTGGATAATTTTACCCCACAATCCACCGGTGTGTTGATTGGATTACAATCATCCATTTTAAACTTCTCAAGGATTTTCTTTGCATACCCTTCTTGACGGATGAAAATTCCACTCTCACTTTGTTTTACTTCAATTCCCAAATAATAAGATATTAAGCCCATATCGGTCATTTCAAATTCTTGACTCATTGCCCTTTTGAAATTCTCAAATAAATTAAGATTATTTCCCGTGAATATTAAATCATCAACATAAAGGCAAACAATCAAGATATCTCCATTTTCCTCCTTTTTAACATAAAGGGCATGTTCATGGGGACACTTTATAAAATTATTCACTTGGAAATACTTATCAATTCTAGTATTCCAAGCTCTTGGAGCTTGCTTCAAACCATAAAGTGCATTTTTCAATCCCGGTGGTTGCTCCAAATAAACTTCTTCCTCTAATTTTCCATTTAAAAATGCGAATTTCACATCCATTTGGAAAATTTTCCATTTATTTTGAGCCGCCAAAGAAATTAAAAATCTTATAGTTTCCAATCGGGCAACGGGAGCAAATACCTCTTCATAGTCGATGTCGGCTCTTTGGTTGTACCCTTTCGCAACCAATCTTGCTTTGTACCTTTCAACTTCCCCGATGGCATTCTTCTTTTCTTTAAACACCCACTTTGCACCAATTGATTTGTGCCCTTTGGGTAAGGTGGCCAATTCTCAAGTATCATTTTTTATGATGGCCTTCATTTATTCATCCATTGCTTCCCTCCAAGTCTTGTCATTAGCCGTTTATTCAAAACCTATTGGTTCACAATCAGCAAGAAGACAAAACAATGTTAGATCATTAATATTTTCGGTAACCTCATATAGCTCTTGTATGCTCCTTAAACGGGGCGGTCTTTCATTTGAGTTATTTTCTTCTTGCTCCGGTGATGGTGGAGTTGAAGTCGCGGGCTCTTCATGGGCTAGCTCTTGCTCCTCCTCTTCTTCTTCATTGTAGTAAGGCAAGAAATTGTAGTCTTCTTCTTCTTGAGTCCAATCCCAAGTGCTCTCTTCATCGAACTCAACATCACGTCTAATCACAATTCTTCCATTGTTTAGGTTGTATAACTTGTACCCCTTTGATGTTGCATCATAGCCAATAAAGATAAACTTCTCCCTTTTGTCATCCAATTTGCTCCTTTTTTGATCGGGCACATGAGCATAAGCAATACTCCAAAAAACTTTCAAGTGGGCGATTCCGGGCTTTCTTCCACTCCATGCTTCTTCGGGGGTTTTGTTCCAAACACTTCTAGAAGGAGATCGGTTTGACAAATAAACCGCACAATCCACGGCTTCGGCCCAAAATTCTCTTGGAACATTTTTGCTCTTAAGCATGCTTCGAACGATATTAAGTAGAGACCGATTTTTCCTTTCAACAACTCCATTTTGTTGTGGAGTATATGGAGCCGTTTAGGGGCGATGAATACCATTTTCCTCACAAAAACTTTCAAATTCCTTTGAAGTGAATTCCCCCCGCGATCGGATCTCATGGATTTTATTTTAAACCCGCTTTCATTTTCAACAAGAGAGCTTTAAATTTCTTGAAGGCCCCAAAAATGTCGGATTTTTGTTTTAGAAAATAAACCCATGTTTTCCGACTAAAATCATCAATGAAAAGAGCAAAATAATTACTATTTCCAAGAGAGCTTCGTTTAATTGGCCCACATATATTTGTGTGTACAAGGTCTAATGGTTGTTTTGCTCTTGTAGATGCTTGCTTTGGAAAACTTTTCCGTGGTTGCTTTCCAAATAAACATCCCTCACACAATTGATTAGGTTCATTTATTTTGGGCAAGCCTTTCACCATATTTTTGTCACTCAACAATTTTAAACCTCCAAAATTAAGATGCCCAAACCTCAAATGCCAAAATTAAAACTTGCTTTCAAACATTTAGCTCCCCCGTTTTCAATGTTTAGTAAAAACATTATATTTCTTGACATTGGTACTTTAGCAACCAAAACTCCATTTTTATCTCTCATCAAAAGGGTATGATTTTTCATATGAATATCATATCCTTTTTCAAAAAGTTGCCCCAAACTTAAAATGTTTGATTGATTTCATATTAGGCACATAGTAGACATTAGAGATGAAATCATTCTTTCCATTTTTCAACCGGATTGAAACTTTCCCCTTTTCTTTTACCAGAATTTTTGATTCATCCCCAAAATAAATATTTCCACTTACCGATTCATCAAGATCGACGAACATATCTCTCTTCCCACACATGTGGTTGCTAGCTCCTGTGTCTAAGTACCAAGTCGTTTTGGTGTCACTTTCTCCTCCTTTATGGACCATCAACAATGTTGAATTTTCTTCTTCCTTGACAAAATTAGTCCGCTCCATAACTCTATTTTTTTCCAATCTACAATCGGAGGCATAGTGACCAAATCTTTGACAATTATAGCATTGAATTTGAGGTTTATCATACCTTGGTCTTGAAGACCCCTCTCTTCCTCGGCCTCTTGATGGATAGAAATTTGGACCTCTTTCTTCATTGTTGAAGGTCTTGTAGCCACCTCTTCCATAGCTTTGACTTCGACCACACCCTCTTGAATTTTGATTTCTTCCATCTTGAAAAGTCTCTTTATGCCTTAGGGTGAACTTGGTTTGAAGGGCTTGCTCCAATGACTCTTCTTTTATCCTCTTCTTGAATTTTTCTTCATGAGCTTGAAGAGATCCCAAGAGTTGATCGACCGTCATAGTTTCTAAATCTTTAGATTCCTCTATTGCCACAACTGTGTAATCATATTTTGGATCTAAAGATCGTAGAATTTTTTCAACCACTCAGTTGTCTTTAATTTCTTCTCTGTTTCTTCTCATTTGAGTAACGACGCCTTGAACTCTTGAGAAATAGTCATCAATGGATTTCGTAGACTTCATTCTTAATGATTCAAACTCACCTCGAAGAGTTTGGAGTCTTACTTTCTTCACCTTATCTACTCCTTTGAAAGAATTCTCCAATATCTCCCAAGCTTCTTTACTTGTAGTTGCACACGCCACCTTTGTAAACATAGCTTCATCCAAAGCTTGATGGATGATGTAGAGCGCCATTTGATCTCTCTTTTTAATATTTCTAAAGGCATTCTTTTGAGTTTGATTTAAAGCGTTGACGTCCTCGGGTTCCTCGAAACCTTCCTCTATCATGTCTCATACATCTTCCGAACCAAGTATTGTCTTCATACGAATGCTCAAATTATCATAGTTTTCCTTTTTTTAGTAGAGGAACTTGAAGGGAACCGGCCATTTTTGGGTGATGACCGAACGGGCTCTGATACCACTGTTGGAAATAAGTGAAGGAAGATTTGGGAAATTGGGTGGCTAATTTAGAAATATTATGGAAGAGATATTTGAACAAAGGGGAAGAATTCTTTTTATTAGAACAACTCAAATTGGCTTGATTTGCTTGATACAAAGTGGTGGCGGGGAAGCTCTATTTATACTAATATAAAAGTATCTACTCTTCTACCATTAATGAATTCTACACAATTCTACACAATTAATACTATGAGAATTCTAGAGACCACACTTTCTAGAGAAGTTCTAGAATTCATTCCTTCTACACTTTTCTACTACTTGGGTCTTCCCTACAACAACTAAAATAAATATTAAATAGGCCCAAAATATAAAAACAAGTTTAATTTTCAACAATATGAATCGACCACTCACTAGATACATATTTATATGAAAATAATTTTAAACTCAGTCAAATGTTACGATTTTATATCTCCTATTAGTTTGAACAGATGTGATACTAATTTATTATAAACTTTTGTCATGTTTATATGTAAGGTAATTATAGTGGAAAAATCACTAACATTACTCTTGAATAAGTGGTGGACAAATGTAACTTTCAGTGACTATATAATTGTGTTTAAAGTTTACATCATTGTGACTACATAATGTAAATTGTGAACACAATTATAGTTACTAAAAGTTATTAAGTCACATTATTTTTCATAACTTTTTTATTAGTAATATTTAAGAAAAACCCTCTAATTATAATTTAACCCATTGTATATTGTGTATTCAAAAAAGGTTATATTACGAAAGAAATAATCCTAAAGTTTGAAAATTATACGTAAATAATCTGAACTTGTTAACAATTTCACAAACATGAACCAACATAAAGGAAAGTTAAACTCGTAAAGTGACAGTTCATATTTGTGAAACAGTTAACTAGTAGGGATTATTATTGTCGTGAACTTTTCTAGTACGATTATTTTTTTAAATAAAAAGTTTAAAAGTGGAGATTATTGGTGTCAGTTCATCATATTATTGTTTACAATGTTTTATTGTTAGTCTATTGATTTTTAATATTATTTATTTGAGACTTTTTTATTTACATTTTGGCAAACCAGACAATGTATGAAAATATGCTTGATTCTAACTAAAAGAATACATGTTTGGCAAATTACAAATAGAATAAGGGTCCCTTGTTGAATTAGCTGAAATTGGTGAAACTCTAGTTCAAATTACTGAATCAGATGAATTGCAAAAAGACTCTTTGAATTATAATTTATTAATAAAATAAAGAAAAAAATATATGAAAACAGCTAAAATAACCCTCTTCATTATCAAATTCAGATAATTAAATTCAACTTTATTTATTTTGTTATCGTACAACCTATCGCAAGATATCAAGAATTATGTGCTTGGTAACAAATGGGTTCTAATTAAGTATAATTATGGGAGCATTTGCGTATCAAGAATGGCATACTTGAATTTTGGGACTTGAAATAGTTGTGCAGGTATTTGACCTGTAAGGCCATTTGTATCCAGTTGCCTGTTGCAATTAAGAACAACGTAACATCTCAAGTTCAGTAAGTAATTTCTGTTCGCAAGTAATTAAACAATTAACCTCAAATTCAGAAATGGTACAAATGCAATAAATTAATACGGAGTAAGCAACTCACAAGTTAATTAAGCTAGGAAGGCTTGAAAGAGATTCAGGGATTTTGCCTGTCAGATTGTTCTGATTCAAATACCTGTTTCATGCATTGCGAAAATACAATTACTAATTACTACCTAGTTTGGTCTGGGGATTTCGGAGGAGAGGGGAGTCATTTATTTGTAACTCAATTTCTAAATTTAGAAGGATATAAGTAAAGTAAAGATGAAAAACAATATAAACAGTCTAGCTAATCTCATAGTTATCTCTACTCCAAATAGTAAACATAGGCAGCTGAAGTCCTCAGAAAAAAATTAATAACGTGTAGATTTTGTTATACTTGAGTAAACTAAAATTCAATCCTCTCTTCCCCTTCATTCCGAAGGATTCATGGGCCGAACAAAAATGTAAAGATTCAGAGTGCCCTCAGATCCAACCGAACAGTAATCCGAGAGGATGTAAATTGAGTTATGATCACACTCTGATGAAAAGAGAGTGAGGTTCCATCCCAAGTCATTGTTTGGGGTTGAACTCGGACCTCTCCCTTGTGGTAATCTCTTCCTACCAGGTGAGCTACGCCCCCCGGTTTCGAGATTTCATCCCAAATGGTAGGAAAAATATCTTGAAATTACTAGTTCATATATAGTTTATTAGTGTAGGAAATACTACTCTCCTCATGACCAGACATTTCATGCAGATCGTGTGTGCCGTCATTAATATTTTTCATCGATTCATCATAATCTTTGTCATTTTTCACAATCGTCATCATTTTTCATAGGGGTCCATACCACGATTATGAATCAGGTGAATTACGATACCATGTTAAAGTATTTGGACATACTTTAACACAAAATAGCAAAGTATGTGAAAGCTTTTAATGCTTACAAGAATTGGAGTTTCTTGAGATTGGCAAGGGAAGTTGGTATCGCTCCAGAGAGTTTGTTGTTCTGGAGGTCCAAAGTAGTCAAGCTTGACAAATTTCCAATTTCTTCAGGAATACTACCCGTTATGCCATTTCCTTTTAATAATCTACACACATACATATATGATAAGTCTAGCTATGATGAAATCTATAAAGCACTCTTCAACTATATTACGACTTTTAATACGCATTATATTCAGGTCTGAATATGGTTTGGTGATTTATTCAACAGGTCACTCTAAGTATTGTGTTTACCCCCTCAAATTATCCAGATCAATTTGACTGAGGGCTAGAGAAAAATATCTAAGACGTTTACAGATCCAGCGTACGTAATGTAAGACTCAGAATCATATCATACAATGCGTTGAGCTTCTTCAAAACTCCTATTGAGGGAGATAAAGTGCCAGAAAATCCCATATTTGGCAGTGACCTGCAATGAGTGACCGTGACGATATATAAATGGGAAAATTCCCTAAATAAGAGTAAAAAAGTTTTAAAATTTCAACTGTCATGTTTTTATTCTCTAAATAAGAGTAATTTCTGTCAAGTTTGGGATTAACAGACTTTAAACATGGTATTTTTTGTCAAACTTGACATAAATTACTCCGGAATAAAAATATCAAGGTCTTGTTTTGGAATTTGGAAACGTTTGAGCAAGAAATTTGTATATAAATTTGTTTGATTTGAGGAGGTAGAAGAATAAATTAAAGTAGGTAGAAGCAATGGTTAATTATTAGCTTAGGCTGATTGCAACCCATAGTTGAATAAGTCAAATTCATTCTTTTCACCCCAAAGAAGTATTGCAACCCATGTATTGTTGGGTGCAAAAGTGGATGCATGGCACCAGTTGGGAAAATTTCGGTGGGTACATTGACCCACCATTTCCACTAGCCGCTGCACAAAAGGAGGAAGCCAACAGTTGGCAGCAGTGCGGGTCCCAAGAGTCAGCAGCATTTTGCAGGAGGTTTGCACGGTTCAAATTAGGCGGTGCCCTGGACTCGCTGGAATGCGCTTGGATTTCTTTTCTTCATACTTTTGGGCTGGCTTAAATTTAAAAAAAAAAACATTTTTAGGTAGATCCAATATAGGAGTACATATTTTGAATGGAAACTCCAATTTATTTGAAATTAAGGTCATGTGTGCAAATTTTAATACCTTCCAAAAAAAATATTTTTTTACATCGAAATATTTGACTTTTTAATTCATAATGATTAGTAAAAAACAATTTGTCATATGATTGATGTGTGATAATAAAAGTAAGAATGTATACATTTCTTTTAAAAAAATGTGTTGGGTGAATATATTGACGGTGTTGGGTTGCAGAGAAAAACTGATTGACTGAGTGAATACGTATAAAAAGGTGGCGAATTTGATTTATTGACTCCAGCGGGTTGCGGACAGCCTTACACCATGATGACATTGTTAGTAGCATCGCATGTGATTTTGGACCAAGTGCACGGATTCACTTCACTCTCATACCAATCTGTAAGCTCACTGCTCGATGCATTTAGTGACGCCTTCAACGCAGACAGTGCAACTCCTTCATTCATTCAAAGCAAGTAATAATAATAAATCGACATAAATAATTAAACATCGGATATATTACTCATAAATCTTTAGTAATAAATCTTATTTTTATTATGATTACTTAGCTTGCAAACTAAAGACAAGTGGAAATATATTATGAGTACATACGTACGTACCTTGAGCATCAGGCGAAACAAAAGAGGTAAAGCATGCCAAAATCAGTGCTGCTGCATATGATACCGCCTGCGCCATCTCCAACCAACTCAGCTCATTCCATTCATTTCATTCCATTTATTAATTGGAGCAAAAGATCATACCACTCTCTTAAATTAAAGAGCACCAAAGAATATAATACTCCCTCCGTCCCCTTTATATTGTCCCGTTTTACCTTTTCGGAAAATCCCATTAAAATTGTCATATATCATATTTGTTAAAGTTTGTGTGGCTCTAAATCATTCTTACATAATTCTTACTTTATCAATTAATATCAACCACACAAATCCACTTTTCTTAATAATCGTGTCACCCTCTTCCGTCCCAATATAAAAGGGACCGAGGTAGTATTAACTAATGCAAATTGTCGACCATTCAATTTCAAACCAAAGGTTCAAATTTCAAACCACAGCTCAGCTCACTATTATTTTCTTTTCCTCAAGGTAATTAAGACATTGAATAACCTTATTTAATACATCTACAATCTTTTTGAAATTTCAATTATTCCTTTGTGATAACTTACTTTTACGTAATTCGTAACAATAATTCATACTTTCACAGGTTCTACAATAATATCTCCCGCCGAAAATGTTCATAAATAATTTTAACTTCTAGGCTACTAGTGGTCTCTTAAGAATATCTTGGCGTGATCGAATTCAAACTAAGACCTGTTCGCCATTTAATACTCCCAGCCTCTAGTCAAACTTTTTTCATCCCGCTCTTCTTCTCGTGATGAATTCAAATAAATGTCTGTCTAATCTCAAGTCTCAACGTCATTTCTATCATATGTAATTCTCTCAAGGTTAGATGATAGAATTGCTAACTGAGACAAAGAGTGGAGAAGGAGAAATTTGGGTTAGGGATTGGGAGTATCAAACAGCATTAGTTTGAATTCGGTCCAATTTATTTTTGTGGACATCCATCAGATTCGGTCAAAACAACTTTAGCCATAATTTCATCAATTACAACATATTTAGCCGGTTCAGTCAATTCTAGTATTACCAAAAGGGCTCTCAAGAATGGAGTACTTCAATTGTTACTAGTTAAAGGTTAATCATTTATCTTATGTTTACTGGCTTTTATGGGTGTCCGGAAAGAAACAGGAGGAGAGAATCTTGGGCACTTTAGAAGTCTTTGAGTTTAGGGCATAATCTCCCATGGATCGTCATGGGTGATTTTAATGACCTTATGGTGGCGTCCGATAAGCGGGGTAGGATTCCGCACCCTCCGTGGCTCTTGAGGGGATTTCGGGAGACAGTTTGGGATTGCGGCTTGCAAAATTTCCCGTTCCAGGGTTATCAGTTTACTTGGGAAAGGTGGAGGGGGTCCCGGCTTGGGTGGAGGAAAAGCTGGATAGAATTCTCGTTTCTGAAGAGTGGCTGGACATTTTCGGGGAGGCAGTAGCAGAATAGGTGGAGGGGGCGCCTAGTGATCATTTAGCATTATTCATCAGGCTTTTTCCTTCTCAACAATATCATAGACGGAGTAAATTTAAATTTGAGAATCTTTGGCTTCGGGATGAGGATTGTAGGAATTTGGTTGCTAGAAGCTGGAGGCTGGGATCTCAAAGGGGGATTGTCGGGCAGATTGAGGTGTGTGGAAAAACTGTGGGGGAGTGGGGAAAGAGGAAGAATGGGTCTCTTGGAAAAAGAATTGGCTTTTGTAGGAGGAGGTTAGAGTTCCTGAGGAGAAAGACCGATTAGAGGAGCCTGGCGGCGTTTCAGACAGCTAAAGGTGAATATCTTGATCTTCTTGAGCAGGAGAACATTTTTTGGCGTCAGAGGGCAAAAGAATTTTGGTTCAAGGAGGGGGATCTGAATACTCGATTTTTTCATAACTCAGTGAAATAGCGTAGGAGGAAGAATAGGATTGAGGGGATTCGGGTGGAAGGAGGGGGTTGGGAGAGGGAGAGATCAGAGATTGGCAGGATGATTGGGGACTATTTTGCTAATTTGTTTTCTTCTGTGCAGAGTAGCGGTGATTATGTATTTCATTTAGTTCACCGTAAAATTAGTGACTATCATAATGTGGAGCTGCTACGGCCTATTCGAGGAGAGGAGGTTAGAGCAGCGGTGTTTGCTATGTACCCTGATAAAGCTCCTGGGCCGGATGGCATGAGTCCGGGGTTTTTCCAGCATTATTGGGATGTGGTGGGACCTGATGTTATTAAGTTCTGTGCAGAGGCTTTCGAATCAGGTAAACTACCAAGCAACATTAATCATACAAATATTGTATTAATTCCAAAAAAGGATTGCCCCGAGTCTTTGAATGATTGGAGACCTATTTCTTTGTGCAATGTTGTGTATAAGATTTTTTCGAAAGTGTTAGCTAACAGACTGAAGCCCTTGTTTCATTTATGTATTTCTGAGAACCAGAGTGCGTTCATTCCGGGTAGGTCTATTGTTGATAATATTATGCTCGCTTTCGAATCACAACATTTTTTGCACCGGAAATCTCAGGGTAAAACGGGGTTTGTAAGTCTTAAACTGGATATGAGTAAGGCTTATGACAGGGTAGAGTGGTCTTTTTTAGAAGGAATGATGAGACAAATTGGGTTTGCTGAAAGATGGGTTAATATGGTGTCCGAGTGTGTGCGATCTGTTTCTTACTCTATCCCTTTTGATGAGATGGAGTTAGGGCCTATCTTACCTACTAGGGGGTTAAGGCAGGGTGATCCGTTATCACCCTATTTATTCCTTCTAGTGGCGGAAGGGTTGAGTGCCCTTTTGAGGGGGCACGAATCCGCAGGCCGTCTGCATGGTGTTGCGGTTGCTCGGGGGGCTCCGAGGATATCTCATCTACTTTTTGCAGATAACAGTCTGTTATTTTTTAGAGCAACGCACGGGGAAGCATCTCTTGTGAAAGAGATGTTGCACGACTATGAGTTAGCTTCTGGACAGGTGATTAATCTTAATAAATCAAAAATCTTTTTTAGCTCCAACGTGTCTGCTGAATGTAGAGAAGGATTGGTTGATTTACTGGGGGTGGGTTTAGCAGGCAATGATGAGAGGTATTTGGGGTTGCCGGCTCTGGTGGGAAGAAATAAGAAGTCTATTTTATCTTATTTGAGACATCGAATGGTTAGTCGTATTCAGAACTGGAATAACCGTTTTTTATCCAGGGCTGGAAGAGAGATTTCATTGAAATCGGTAATCCAGGCTATGCCGACCTTTGCAATGAACGTTTTTCTTTTGCCTAAGGAATTATGTCGGGAAATTGAAGTCCTAATGAATGGGTTTTGGTGGAGTGGAAAATCAGGGAAGGGGATTAGATGGAGGAACTGGGATTTTTTGTGTAAACCAAAGAAAGTTGGGGGTATGGGCTTTAAAAAAATCCGTGAGTTTAACTCATCAATGTTAGCTAAATAGGCGTGGAGGATCTTTACTAATCCCGAGTCCCTTGTGGGGAAGGTGTTCAAGTCCTGGTATTACCCTGGTGGGAATTTTTTGACTGCTAAAATTGGTCACAACCCCTCTTTCGTGTGGCAAAGTATTTTTCAAACTCAGAATATTATAAAAAAGAGCTATTTTTGGAGAGTAGGCCGTGGGAGTGATATTAATATTTGGACTGACCCGTGGTTACCTGACCCGGATCAGCCAATGGTTATTACATCCCCGGTTGAAGGTCTTCAGGAGGCGTGTGTTAGGAATCTCTTGTGCGAATCAGGAAAAGAGTGGGACAGGGATATTCTTAGTGATTTATTCGAGTCCAGGGATGTTCAATTAATTCAAAGCATTCCTATTAGTTATCGGTCTATTTCGGATAAAATTTGCTGGAGATGGGAATCAAACAGACATTTCTCTGTTCGTAGCTGTTACCGGCAGTTGGTTGGAGAGTTTAACTCTCCGAGTTGGCTTGGTTGGACTTCTGTTTGGAGGTGGAAGTTGCCTCCAAAGATTAAACTTTTCTTTTGGCAGCTCTGTTGCGGGCTATTGCCGACGAGGGTGAATCTGAGGTCCCGAGGGGTGGACTGTGTCGTGGAATGTGGGCTGTGTGGAGAGGAAATAGAGTCGTCGAACCATCTTTTTATCAAGTGCCCGATTTCAAAAGAGGCATGGAAGGAGATTGGCTGGGCTTGGGCGAGCTGCTCAGACGATGATCTCTTGGGGGTGGTGAAGGCAGAATTCCAGACACGAACGGAGAAGGAATTGCACAAGATGGTTTGGGGGTTCTGGGGGCTGTGGGGTGAAAGAAATAATAGAGTATGGAATGGGGTTCGGAGGGATCCGAAATATATTTTGTTAAAAACTAAAATTTTTGTTACAGGATGGGAAAATGCTCAAATGGCAGCTGGTTCACGTGAAGGCAGCAGGAGGAAGGCACGAACAAGCTGGAGCAGACCAAATGCAGGGCGGGTAAAGCTGAACATTGATGCCGCTGTTCGTTCTCATATGTGTGGGTGGGGCTGGGTTCTTCGGAATGAAAATGGAGAGTTCCTAGCGGCTGCACCAAAGGCGTGGCAGGGGGTTCTATCGCCTTGGGAAGCTGAATTGATTGGCATTAGGGAGGCGCTCAGTTGGGCAAAGGAGAAAGGGTGGGATTTTATTGATGTGGAATCAGATGCTTTAAGAGCAGTGGCGGAGATTCAAAGCGGTTCGAGTGTTTCTGCAGCAGGCATGGTAGCGGAAGACATACATGATATTAGCTCAAGGATGTTGAACGTTTCCTTTGGTCATGTTAGACGATCTGCGAACATGGTAGCTCATGAGCTCGCTCAAGTTGCGTGTTCTACGTCTGATTGTCGTTCTTGGATTGATATTCCTCCTAATTTTATTACTCATGTATTGCACAATGATTTGATTAATGATAATTAAATTTGTTTTCTTCAAAAAAAAAAAATACTCCATCTTATCCATCCAGAGGTCTCATTTTTCAATTTGTGTCATTCTCACTAAATTTGTATCATACTATATTTTACTCCCTATGTCCCATTAGAAGGTTTCCACATTTTTTTGAACGTCTCATATAAAGGTTTTCATTTCCATTTTATGAAACAATTAACAATGTTAAGTGACAGATTAATCTTTAAATATTAAAAATAATACATTTATAACATCACAGTTATCAATACTAACTATATTATAATATACTTCGTATAACTA